CTTATGGCCGGGGTTCGTAAGTAAAACACAACTTCTCAGTTTAGAGTGGATACGTATATTTCTGGTTTACCTCAGTCAACGCCAGACACACAAATGAATGTTAGTTCAATGCGCGCAAGTACCCTTTTATAGATTCAATGCGTTCCAGACCCGACTGCGCAAGCAGGATGCAACCAAATCAAAGTAGGGCAGGTAAATGACCGCTGTCTAGACAACTGACCTCGTGCGCTTTGGAGCGACAAGTTGCTATGCAACACCGTTCCATGATCTGCGTTCTAATGCGCACGGTATTATTGTTCTAGTACAGGACACAAAGTCTTGGATCACAAACTCTCCCCAGACAAATTGAAAGAAAAGTTCCACCTTTTCAGAGCCAATCATAAGCGTTTCTAAAAGTGCTCATGCAAAAAGCCTGATTCCAAGTGAAAAGTGAATAAAATCGATGTCTGTTGAATGATGACACATCTGGGCATCAATTCCCATATGATATGTCACTGCATCGAAAACTTTTTGAAATCACTCTGGGGTTCAATTTGAACTCACACATTTTGTGTGGCACCCATATGAGGATCTCAGATGCAGGAGTTCACTGGGTTCATCTTGGAACAGGAATGTGGCAAAAAGTCACACTCTGGGAAGAAACAGGTATCAATACTTGTTTCTTTCCTTCCTGAGACATTCCAAAAGGATTCAGGCCTCATTTGTGGCTCATTTCTGGTGGAGACTACATCAAACAGGAATGTGGCAAAAAGTCACACTCTGGGAAGAAACAGGTATCAATACTTGTTTCTTTCCTTCCTGAAACATTCCAAAAGGATTCAGGCCTCATTTGTGGCTCATTTCTGGTGGAGACTACATCTCAAGTAAGTCTCAGTGAAAGTTCTGATGGTGCTAATTTTTAATGTCCTGCTTCCTTTTTTTGATCTTTTTGGCGTCTAGGCATTTTTTTTTTAATTAAGGGCATTTCAAAGACCCTTTTTTCGTCCATTGCACTCTGTTGTCGTAGTTATTGAGCGCGTAATTTTCGCGAAAAGTCTGACGGCGTTCAGTTGTGAAGGCTTCAGAGAGCCATTAAGCACGTCAGGGACCTCAAAAATAGCCAAAAACACATCACCCAGCTCCCAAGAAATAAAATCATCAACAAAAAGGAGCAAAAATGGGACTTTGCCTAGCAGTGACATCTACACTTCTTTGGGTAAGTTGTTGCACCAAAACAGTGAAAATATGGATTTTTAAATACATTCAATATTTTCTAGGTCTTGTTGTTGACTCTTCAAGATGGTGGAGCAAGTTCCTGTGCAGAAGTTGGAGGCAGGCTTGCCTGTGAAGACATCTGTGAAGTCAGAAGACCAGCTCTCCACAAGTTTCAAGTGGACTTTGTTGGGGACTCCTTGGACTTGGACTGCATCAGGTATGAGGGTCTGAAGGTGAGTTCTTCCTGGAAATGAAAGGATAACCATGTATTTGATCCTTCTCTTGTGAATTTTCAGGAAGTGAGGTTGTTCAACAGGACCTTCTGTTCAGGAAAAGTTCTAGGCATGGAAGAAATTGTGAGACCCTGGAGTCATTGTTTCTTCAAACATACAAGTGAGTTGTAAAAATATCACCAGAAGGCCTAGTAATCCAACTTTTCCATTTTTTTCAGAGAAACAGAAAACAGTCAAGGAGGAGCTCAGGACTTCAAAACCTGCTCCGGAGACTTCACTGCACACAACATCCTGAACAAGACCACTGACCTCATCATCTGTGCCAGTCAAACAGAGGATTGTCAGCACTACCAATCAACCTACAACAGCATCTTGGGAGGAGAGGACTACAACAATTCAGGATCAAGACATCAGTGTTGTTAATAAAAATGATGTTGTCACTGTTGTGCCTGAAACCCAGCTAGAGCAAACAGTGGGGATGGTACCTGTAGAGGAGGTGGTGCCAATAGGGGAGATCCCTTCTAAAACTACTAGGGGGACCCTGTTGGATATTGCAGAAAAATCTAAAAACCTGTCTATTTCGCAACTAAATATTTCTGCAGGGTTCCCTGATGGTTCAGTTATCCATGCAGAGTTTCCACAGTGGTTACTGGAAGCTTCAGTTTGGATAATTGGAGTATTAGGGGTTGGATCTCCCTTTGCAATACTTACAATCTGCTGTTGCAGAAGGATAAAATTGAAGCTGTGTAGTTTTTTGTGGTGGAAGGTTAGCCATGTTTCTAATGGGTTCTGGGCTTTTTGCTATTGCTGTGCTTCTTGTGCGTTGGGTTGATTTGTCAGAGGGAATCAGAGGCAGAAAATCAAATGGAAGAGGCGCCTCAGTCAGTTCTGAATCCTTTGTTTGAGGAATTGGAGATGACTGAGGCTCCTTCTCTTGCCACTGTGAGGCCTTTGATGTCCTCTTTCAGTGAGTGTCTGTCACTGCTTGCTTGTTTTGCTTTGGCTTGACCCTCTTTTGTTATCAGGTCCGATCCAAAGCCCTGTCCGGGGAAGAGTTGCTCGCCAGGTGGACTTGGCCTCTCCTTCATGCTTGGGTGTTGGCGAAGATTCGTTCTAGCCACCCCACCTTTCGCCGCACTCAACCTGGTTCTGGCCAAGTGGTTTGTAGTGGAAGCCTCTCCAGTTTTTATACTGTGGGAGAAGTTTAGTTAGTTTTCGCGCGCATATATTCGACGCGATTAGAGAGTTGATGTTGTTAGGAGGACACGAATAAAGATATGTTGATCCTCCATTCCTTGAATTTTCTCTCTTTTTGTTTTCATCTTTCCACAGCAATTCGGGCATTTCTCTCCATCCAGGTATTCGGGATCCTCTTCAAAGGAGTAAAAAAAGCAAGTATACAGCAGTCACACACATAAAGGTGGTAAGGTGTAGATACACACAACCAAACTGAGTTTGAATAGAGCATAAAAGCACACTAAGCATAACGAAGAATACAACACCATTCTAGTTCTAGTAGAGCCTTCAAGACCTTCAAGGGGTGTTCTCTGCGTATCTTACTTGATTGCCATTAAACCTGTTGATGCACTAATTTGCAATCTAGGGTACTGAGGAGCCAATGGAGCACTCCTGGAGGGCATCAATTCAATATTTGCGCTTTCTATAACATTTGCATTTCTTCTGCGTCTACGAATGATAACGTACCATATTTTTGCGAAACATAAATACATGATACTGATTAGTATGATAGACAATAGTATTACTGACACTATCAGATAAATGTACCCATGATCTCTGAAATGAATTTGGAGTTCACTAATATCTTCGGCTACTGTACTTCGTGGTTTAAAGGCTGGAATTTCTTCTACAGCGTTTATCTCCACATTTTCTAGTTTGGGTAGAATTTCCTTGAATGGTCCGTTCACTAAGGTATATCTACAATTTTGATTAAATTTCAGGATACCAGAATACGGTAATTCGTATGAATTCTCAGACGCAGGAACTGTTCCGTTTTCACTTTCAGCACAATATTGAGTTACCCTTCCCTTGTCCGTATCTATATACGCAAATTCGTCCCTATCTAACTGAACTACCATATTTTCAGGACTGACTATTGGTCTCATAGGACATGCCTCTCGAATTGCTTCTTCATTTTCTCCAATTTGGATCTTTCTAACGCATTTGCTGGCAGGTCTGATAGGGGCATGATTGGCTCTGCAAATTTGACAACCTGAATGTCCTATTCTTCTAAGACACATGGGTATTTCTGTACCATGGGCTGCGTAATACTGATTTCCTCTCTTTAACAGAAATGGATGTTTAATCTCTGCTTGCAACCACTTTGGGGACCCTAAATAGGTTTCTCTGGCTATGGGAACTGCATGCACCCTTGAAACATGAATCACTTCGTCTGCAGAAATAACTGGTACTATTGTAATAATCTTGAGATGACACTCTCCGGCTGTGGCTGTCAAGTTGGCACAATTGAACATTCCTACTGTTACTGGGTTCAACTTAATTATGTGAACCAAATCCGTTGCTGTTACTTTGGATTTTGCATATCTAGGTTCCACGTCGAGAATTTCTTGCATGACTCCATGCACTTGACCAATGTCAAACATGTGAATTGGAAAAGATGGCACAATTGAACGTTCCTACTGTTACTGGGTTTGACTTAATTATGTGAACCAAATCCGTTGCTGTTACTTTAGATTTTGCATATCTAGGTTCCACATCGAGAATTTCTTGCATGACTCCATGCACTTGACCAATGTCAAACATGTGAATTGGAAAAGCAAATTCTCTAATTGATTCGATATCCCCTTGAATAGTATCGGCTACGTTTTTTAGTTGTCCCAACTCAGATCCAATAAGAAGAGTCTTCAACCAAAAATTAATTAGAGAACGGTTGGTCAAAGTGACGTCGTCGATTAATTTATCGAAAACTTCAACATGACTAAAGTCGGTGAATGTTAACAATGACGATGGTCTGAGGTATGCTCTTTTGCTATTTGATTGTAGTTTTGTAAGGGGGGAAATTCCTCTCTGAACAATTGGTAACAGGTTCAAATAAGGTGTTTCATTCCCGGTTCGCTTGCTGCAGTTTCAATTTGCATAGCCAGATTATCTAAAGTTAGGTCTAGCATACTCAGCTTATGGTCCAGCATTTTCATGGATACATTGGCTGGGCCAGGTAATTTCAAATCATTCTCGTCCACATCTTTTCTCACATTCTTCGCAAAATCGTACACTCTTTTTCGAACCTTTTCTCCCATGTGGTAAAACTTTCCTAAGTCCACTGACGATTCCATTGTCCAAAAGGTTGTGGAATGCACATTTTACTTAGGTCTTCAATCGTTACTCCTACATTCCCTGGAAATGTTCTAATGGGAGAGATTTTGTCTAATCTGTTACTATTAGATACAATTCCACGATCTTCTGCCACTTCTTCGATTAACAGGCTATTGCAAATAATTGTAAATTGAATATGGAGCAATATAACCGTGAATCGAAACATGTTGACTCGGGCGCATTTCGAGAATAACTGCGCAGTTTGCGTACTTATCTGGGTACTGAAGTTGACCTTCTGGCTTCCCCGCGCATGCGTGTAGGTAGAATGTTGTCGCTATCTATTCCGCTCAACATGCGTGGCCTTACCGATCTTTTTTCCTTGTTCGGTTCTGTTTCGTCCCCTTTTTCCCTTTGCTCCATCTCTTTCTGCTCTGTTTCCTGTTGTTTCTTTTTAGCTTCTTTCTTTCTTCTTCTGACTCTTGGATTTTGCTGCGTCAGGGTTGACTGCTGCGGTCGCTCCTCTGTCTGGAGTCTGTTGCAGTGGCATCTGTGACCTTCTAGGAGTACTGGATGACTCCGGTGGTGCAAGGACACTGTCGGTGACCGCTGGCAAGGTTGTCTCGGGCGGTTCATTATCGTCTGAGCCTGATTCCGGGGAGAAAAACTTCCCCAGCTCCGTAGTTACCTCGGAAAGAAAAGACTTATTAGCTTTGCTAGATTTTGGAGTGGCCATAACAGTCTTATTAGTATCCTCCGTGGAAGCAAAGGATTCATTTCCGACTTCTGACGTTTCCGCGTTAGGAGAATGAGTAGGTGTTCCATAGAACATCATATCAGGAGCAGACACGTCAAAAGCAGCTGATTTATTGGCTACCTCTTTGGGCTCTGACAGTTCTGCTTCTACCTCTCCAGTCTTGTTCTCCATCAATGATTGAGTGATTTCGTCATCATCCGCTTTCTCAACGGGTTTCTCTGGTTTGCAAGATGGAGTAGACCATTTTTTGGGTTGCGCATTGGGAAAAACCTTTTGTTCGACTTCATCAAAGTCTTCTATTTCTTCGATTTCTAGGTTGGTGTCTAAGTTAGTAGAATCTGCATTTTGGACTTGAAAAGGTCGAATATAACTAGTATGAACTACATCGGTCCAACTGCTATGCTGGTCGTCTCGAATGCGCACCACGATGGGATTAACAATTTCAATAATTGTGTAGGGACCTTTGTATTTGGCACTCCATTTATGGCTTCCCCGCGCGTGCGTGTAGGTAGAATGTTGTCGCTATCTATTCCGCTCAACATGCGTGGCCTTACCGATCTTTTTTCCTTGTTCGGTTCTGTCTCGTTCCCTTTTTCTTTTTGCTCCATCTCGTTTTGTTCTGCTTCCTGTTGTTTCTTTTTAGCTTCTTTCTTTCTTTCTTTCTTCTTCTGACTCTTGGATTTTGCTGCGTCAGGGTTGACTGCTGCAGTCGCTCCTCTGTCTGGAGTCTGTTGCAGTGGCATCTGTGACCTTCTAGGAGTACTGGATGACTCTGGTGGTGCAAGGACACTGTTGGTGACGGCTGGCAAGGTTGTCTCAGGCGGTTCATTGTTGTCTGAACCTGATCCTGGAGAGAAAAACTTTCCAAGTTCCGTCGTCACTTCTGAAAGAAAGGACTTATTAATTTTGCTAGATTTTGGAGTAGCTATAACAGTCTTATTAGCATCCTCAGTGGAAGCAAAGGATTCATTTCCAACTTCTGTTGTTTCCGCGTTAGGAGAATGAGTGTTCCATAGAACATCATATCAGGAGCAGACACGTCAAAAGCAGCTGATTTATTGGCTACCTCTTCAGGCTCTTCTGGAATTTCTGCTTCTACTTCTTCAATCTCATTCTCCATCAATGATTGAGTGATTTCAGCATCATCTGTTTTTTCAACGGGTTTCTCTGGTCTGTGTGATGGAGTAGACCATTTCTTGAGTTGCGCATTGGGAAAAACCTTCTGCTCAACTTCATCAAAGTCTTCTATTTCCTAAATTTCTAGGTTGGTATCTAAGTTAGTAGACTCTGCATTCCGGATTTGGAAAGGTCAAATATAACTAGTATGAACCACATCGGTCCAACTGCTATGCTGGTCGTCTCGAATGCGCACCACGACGGGATTGACAATTTCAATAATTGTGTAGGGACCTTTGTATTTGGCACTCCATTTCTTTCCCACAAAGGAGAGGGGTTGTTGTTTAAGCCAAATTTTGTCTCCTACATT